CATTTCAACTATTCCAAATCTCCTCCTATTATTCTCCCCTCTAGTTTACGATTTTAATTACTGCTAAAACGTTTTTTTGGTTTTTCGCCCGATATCCGGGACTTCGCTTCGACTAATCCGAACCCGACTCGCGTCGCGCACTTAGAAATAGTGGATGAGTCTCCCAACGGGGTTATTACATACATAAGATTTCGAACTCGAAAACTTACTTAAATTGGAACAAACCGCTTACAACTTGATACAACCCTTGTTGGTAATTAGTGCTAAAACGTTAGTAAAACATAAAACTGCCCTGCTTAATTTCATTTAAAGACAGTTTTGAAACAATAATATTAATTATCAAAACAGTGTTAATCCTTGATAAATTTGCACAACTCTTTCATCATCCTTCTTACGTAGGAATCAGTAAATATTTTCCGATCCAGTTTCTATGCCGCCGATGAAGGACTTACAGGGGCCACACGTCGCCGTCTTGGTCTTCCCCTTTGGAAGCCACGGCCTAACCATCCTAAACCTCACGCTCCGGTTAGCCTCTGCAGCTTCAAGTGTCCACTTTTCTTTCTTAAGCACAGCAAATTCCAATGCCAGTTTGCTTCGGACCGCTGAGCTACCCAGCAATATTAGAGCCTATGACGTGGATGATGGTTTGCCCGTCAACCATGCTACAAGGGGACACTCACCGGAGGTGGTGGAGCTCTTCCTAGAAGCAGCTCCGGTGAACCTCAAAAGGGCATTAGACACCGCAATTTCGGAAACAGGAAGAAGAATTAACTTCTTGCTAACGGATTTGTTCTTGACTCTGTTTGCAGAAGAAATGGCGGCAGAGCTACGGGTTCCCTGGATCCCACTCTGCGTCGCCGTGCCTTATGATCTCTCAGCCCATGTTTACACGGATCAAATTCGAGAGCAGTTCAGGAATTCCGATTGCAGCAACGGCAGCATTCTGGAACACCGGAAACTGGAATTTATTCCAGGACTATCTCCGTTTTCTGCCATAGATTTACCAGAAGGGATTCTGCCAACAGATTCAGAAGAATCACTCCTTGCTTCCATGTTAAGTAAAGTTGGAAAGATTTTGCCTAAGGCTGCAGCAATCGTCATGAATTTTTTCCAAGAACTATACTCTGTTCCACTCCGAAGTGATCTCTACTCCCTCTTTCCGAATTTACTCAACCTCGGATTTTTAACAGTGCAATTGCCACCGCCGCCGTTACCGCCGTCCAGTTCAGACGAAACCGGTTGCTTATCCTGGTTAGACAGCAAGAATCCGAAGTCTGTGGTGTATATTAGCTTCGGAACGGTGGCGAAGTTACCATCGGCAGAATTAATAGCTCTGGCAGAAGCGTTGGAAGAGACTGAAACTTCGTTCCTTTGGGTTCTTGACGAGAATAGCCAGCAGTTTCTTCCAATTGGGTTTCTCGAAAACGTGAGGTCGTCTGGAAAAATCGTTTCATGGGCACCGCAGAGGCAGGTGCTGAGACATCCTTCAACGGCAGTTTTTATAACGCATGCTGGAGCGAATTCGGTGTTTGAAAGCATTGCATATGAAGTGCCGATGATCTACCGGCCGTTCTTCGGAGATCACCGGATCAATGGGCGTTTGGTGGAGGAAGTCTGGGGCATTGGTGTGGGAGTTGAGGGGCTGGTGTTAACGAAGAGTGGTGTAGCGAAGAGCTTGAACCTCTTTTTGGGAGATGAAGAAGGGAAGAAAATGAGACAGAGGATCCAATTATTGAACAGAATAGTTTTGGAGGCTGCAGGACCAAATGGGAGTGCTACCCAAGACTTCAAAGCTTTGGTAGAACTAATAATCTTAAAGCTACCGAAGCTTTGAATTATAAGTATGGATGCATTTTTGAATGGGTTTTTTGTAAGGTTAAATGTGTAAAAATTGCATATTTTTCTCTTTAATTTGTATAAAAAATATAAAAATTAACTTTATTTTCAATGATAATTACACATGAAACCTTTTAATTTAGGTCTTGATAAAATGATTAACACTTAATAAAAAAGTATAAATTAATTCACTTTCATTTATGCCCTAAAAAAACCCTTTTTGAATAATGAATGGAGAATGCTGGAAAGCCTGCAATGAACTCATCAAATTTGCATGTAATTCTTTTAATTTCGTTTTTTTTTTTTTTTTGAATATGGGGAATTATGTGAGATTGAGATATTTTTCAAATAGTTGATGGGAGTTGAACTCCAAACCAACTAAATCCAAGACTAAGATTTAAGAACGAAACCATTAGCTCGAAGGTCTAGTTCATAATTCTTTTATTTTTAAGGGTTTCTAAGCACAAAAAAACCCACTAAGTTACAAAGTACAAAAAAAGTAAATTAAGTTTCATAAGTCACTTAATAGATATACATTTTTTTTTATCTTAATTGCATAATGAGAAACAACCATCTCCTACCATTTATCCCATCTCACCCACATGTTATGCAATTCAAATTCAAAACCTCTTATTTCCAATAAAAAAAGATGATCACTGAGTTATTTAAGTCGTTAACTAATAAATATACTTAATACTTTGACAATAATCAAAATTTAAATTATAATACTATCATACCACAATTTTTTATCCTCTATTCCTAAATTATACCTTTTTCAAGAAGAAACACCATTAATAATAAATTATTTTGACATAAATAATTAATTTCTAAAATCGTTACAAATAAAACACTAACTACGGAGTATTTTTGTTTTTGGCAAAACATGTAGATCAACCACTTAACTCATCAACTGATGGCAAATCACCCCTTCAACTCACTTCACGCACAAACCAATCCCTTAACTCATCTGTAGTGGCAAATCAACCCCTTTATTAAGGCTGACATCATCATTTCATTAATTATTAACAGTTCACTCATTAGCCCTTCCTTTACGTCTAACATGGCGCTTTTTACTAAGATGGATGCTGAGATAGAGGTGCCACCTAGACAAATACCCTAGAATCATCATATCAAAACAAATTACTTTTATGCCCTTAAATTGTTTAGGAAAATATAATTGGGGATCTTTTGCTTTCAGAGAAACAATCCAAAGATAAAGACGGCATTTTTGTCCTTACTTTGCTTCTTCTTCTACTTCGCTTTGTTTTCCTTAATCGCCCTTCTCTAAAGGCTGATAAATAACAAAGCAAAAGCCTATTCCCTTACCACAGAGAAAGCTAGTTTCATATTACTATTATCATTGCTCCCTTTCTTTCTTGTTTCAATCAGATCTGAGTACCTCTCAGGGATCAATTCAATCGCCAAAAGTTGTGGCACTTTTTTCTCAAGCATTTTCCTCTTCTGGTTCTTTCACTTCATGAAGGATTTTTGCTTCCCCGGCATTGTTGTCTCTGTTCCATGATCGGGTGGGTACTTTTTTTCAGTCTGCTTCTTTCTCTGTTTATGGGTCTTTTTCAGTTTTTCGAGTTCTTTCTTTTATGGGTTCCTTTTCCCTTACTGTTTGAGTTTGGGTTTTTCGAGTTTGGTGTTTTCTATTCTTTTAGCAACTTTTCTTGTTGCTTTATCGTCTTCTTCCCCTCTTTGTCCTTAGAAAATTGAACTCTTTATTAAGAAGAGCTGCAATTCATCGAGCATGGCTTCTTCGTCTAGCTCTCAACTATCAATGAAATTGCCATATTTTGAGGATAGATGCAATATTGAGTGGGAGTATGAAGGTCCTCCACGAACCTGCAAGTGTGGGCATTTTGCTCCACAATGGACTTGCTAGACAGAAGCTAATGCCAGAAGAAAAGTTTTTGGTTGTCCAAAGTATAAGGAGAAGGTAATCATTGTTATTAACTTTGATTTTGATTTGATTTAGGTTGTGGGTTGTATTTACCATAAGTTATTGAATTAATTTTGCAAAAAAGTTGTGATTTCTTTATCTGGTATAACCCTAGAAAAATTCCCAATTTCTCGCACCTTAGGGATTTTGGAAACCATCTGTCATCCTACCAAGAATTTGCTTTGATCTGATGATTCTTGGGTGATTTGTCCAAGCGGCACCTCCATCTCAACATCCATCTTAGTAAAAAAGGGTGGTGCTATATGGATAACTTTTTGTCCCATCTTTTTATACAACTTCCATATGTCATTACATGAGTTTGTGTTTTTGCTTTCACTGTTTTTGGTTTCATTTGAATTAATTAATTTTTTTATTTTCATGTCATGTTGTGTTGTATGATGTGATGTGACTATTGTTTTGTACGCATTTCCTTTTTGTAGTGGGCCAGGTTAGGTTCGGCGCAAGGGTTGGGTTGCGGAGCATTCCATTTTAAGTTATTATGATGTTGGTCTTAGCCTTGGGGTCGGTTTTGCTTTGCCGGTGCGTTTGGGTTTTGGTTTTCGTTTGCAGTTAGTTTAGGTTGTGGTTTTGCTTTTGTTGCTGTGTTTGAGTTAAAGGACTGATCTGCATGTTTTGCTTTTATTTTTTCCGTCCTTTGTGGCATGTTGCGATTTTTCTTCAAGCTTGGGAAGTGATGGTACATTGGAAAAGTAAACAAGAGAGACCGGCCAAAAAAAGGGGGGAAAAAAAAAAAAGAGACAACGTGAAACAATGTCGGCCAGAAAATCACAAGAAGAAAACAAAGTCTACAAAGACATCACTTTAGATCATACCATAACACTTGAACCTTCAGACATTCAACATGAAAATTCCCTAGTCAGCAACCAATTAATGCCTTCAAACGTAGGAGGAGGGGTAGCTATAAGCAGGTCAGCATGACTCAACTCTAGCATACCTCAGCAGTCAGCGCCCCCAGCGTTCCCAAATCTAACTCGCGGCCACGGAATTTCTACATCTAAGTTGGAAATTGTTTCTGATTCACTCGAGTCAATCATGCGCCGCGTCTGTTCCGTGTTTGGGGGGAAGGGAAGGAAACAGAACGAAGTAAAGAAATAAAGGCGGTAGTCGTACTTGTACTGAAAGCAAGTACTCGGTTAACTCCTGCCGACGTTGCATTTGAATTTTCCAGATTCTCAGCCAATTTATATACAGATTCAACTTCGGAAAACCCAAAATCAGAGTAAATTGAAGATGGGTTTCTTGAAGTTTGTGATGATTTGCTTTGATGCTCTTGCATGGTAAGCATTCTTTTCCTTTACATTCCTTTCCTTTACTATTCCTTTACATTCTCACGCAATGCTCTAAGTTGGAAAAAAAGTAGAAAAAGTTTTCAGCTCCAAATGCCTCAAGATTTTCCTTTCCTCTTTCAATTTTTTTGGGTTTGTTATGTTATGCTCTTCCGTGGTATTCTGTTTTTCTAATTGTTCTCATGTTTTTCATTTGCTTGGAAATGTTTTTCAGGCCAATCCTTGCTTTGGGGTATCCTCTGTAAGTATCTCTCTTTCTGACTCAACATTGGGTGTTGTTAAGGCATAATAATGATCATGTTTTTCTTTCTTTTTGGGTTAAGAGCTGCGTCAATTCAGGCGATTGAGACTAATTCTGACACAGACCGCCGGAAACTAGTTACTTACTGGGTCCTGTTTTCGTTGATTTCCCTCTTTGAATATGCTTTCATGGACCTACTTGAATGGTAATCTTGTTAGCCTTCTTTTTAGTTACATGTTCCATTGAAAAGTATCAAAATTGTCAAAATTGCACTCCTTAATTTATACTAGGATTTATTAGAAGGAGCGATACAATCGTAAATCGTTGGATTGTGAGTCTGATCATAAATTATGGGATGGTAACTTCATCATGAACTTGAAATCTAAACTAGTCTGTCTCAATGATTCATTATGAAGTTCCCAGAATTTATATTACAATGCTTTCTGTAACATCATGATCAGTGCAGCACTCTAGATTTTGTGTTGTCTTCTATATTTCTTGTTAACTACAATTAGTTTATTAACAGGGTATCAGACTGGCCTTATGTTAAGCTACTGATGGTCTGCTGGTTGATGATACCGCGCTTTGATGGTGCTTTTCATGTCTATAACAATTTTATTCATCCCTGTCTTTATGTGGACCTGCAAACTATCATCAAGGACTTGTTTGCCAAGAGGGAAAACTTCCTAAAGGAGGCAGAGAAACGTGTAAAAGCATATGGATTTGACTTTGAGGCTTTAGAGAAACTCATCTCTTCTAGTAAGGTGTTGCTAGTATGTGGTAACTTAGTTTTGAATCTTTCATCTTGATTTTGAGAATTGATAAGCAGTTGTTGTATAGTTGTATCTGTTTTTGGGAAACAGCCTAATTGATGATCTAATTCTCTCATTCTACCATGCAGTCAGAAGGCAATGGGCCTGGCATCAAGCAGAAAGATAGTGAGAATGCATACCCTAGTGCAGCCAGCCCGGTAATACAAGTCAATGGGAAGAAGATAGTAGTGACCGCAGTGAAGCAGGTTAGGTTTCTCATTCATATTGAAATGGAATTTCACTTCAAGTTTACTTGCTTTTTGGCAGGAAATGAAATATCTTGATTAGGGGTTATTGTGCAATATGCATACGAATTAGGCAGATTCCTAAATGGTCTTTGAGTAACCTACCTTATAATTTATACTTGTATTCTTCTGAGAAAACTCGAATTTTAATCACTTCTGCAGATTCCTAAAGCAGAGGTAAATGGTTTCTGGGCCAATAAAAAGATACCTGTGGAGATCAAAGAAGCAGCAAATCCCAGTATACCTACATTTCAACAAGTCCAGAAGACCTGGATTCCTAAAGCAGAGCTAAATGTCGATAAGAACAGTATCAAGATACTTCCACCTGTGGAGTTCAAAGCAGCAGCAAATCCAGGGATGTCTAAATTGCAGCAAGTCCAGAAGGAATGGACCTGTGCGATGTGTCAGGTGATTGTCTCGAGCGAGATTGAGTTGAAGTCTCACCTACAAGGAAGTCAACACAATGCCACTTGTGAGGAGCTGATGAAAGCTAAGAACCAGGCCTCCAAAAGCAGATTTTCTGCCCCTTCAGCATCATACGACTTCAAAACTCCCAGAAAGGAGCCTGAGAAATGTGCCTACGGCAGCAGAACTACGCATCAGGAATCTAATAAGCCAAATGGAGTATGGCAGGCAGAGATTGAGAACACATTTGTTGAGGTTAAAAACTCAAAATATTTGTGCTCCGTCTGCAACATAAGCTGCACTAGCTATGGGGATTTGGTCTCTCACCTCAATGGGAAGAAACACTTGTCCCATGTTCAAAATTGCTAGTTTATTCATGCTTATTATACTTATTAGGTGCTTGAACTGGATTCTGATAGCGTGTAAACTCCTCATCCTTCCGGTCTTCGGGTTATTCTTTGGTTTCTGCATTTCTTTTATTATTTCAATTTCTACTATAAAACTATCATTCAATACAAAAACTGTGTTAATCCTTGCACAACCCTATCATCATCCTTCTCATGTTAGCAACTAGTTGAACCCAGTAGATAGTTTCCGATCCCGTATCTATGCCGCCGACAGGGAGGTCTTACAGGGGCCACGTGCACGTTGCCATTTTTGGCCTTCCCCTTTTGGCACCCACGGCCTAACCATCCTAAACCTCATGCTCCGGTTAGCCTCCGTAGCTCCAGAGATTCACTTTTCTACCTTAAGCACGGCTAAATCCGATGCCGGTTTGTTTCCGGCCGGTGTCCTCCCCAGCAATATTAGGGCTTATGACGTGGATGATGGTTTAAACATTTTGGGCTGTTAGAAAATATTAAAGGTGTCTTAGGAATTGCTATTGATTTTTTTTTTTAATTGTACATTATTTTTAAATATATATT